ACCTGCTAGGAATCCCCCTGTTCTTCCCCTGAATGTCTCCGGTTTCTTAAAGAAAAGGAAACCGATAGGGTTTCCAACTTGAAGATCTCCCAGAATTACAACTGATCCCTAGTTGACGGAGACTGTTTCATTTCAAGTTCCCTCTCCCCTTCCCACTAAACGGCCGGGCAATCCAGAATAGGAACAGAAATTTGTAAGTTGCCGCCTTGGATCCTTTTACTCTGGTTTTATTTCTTATCAACTGTATAAAGGTAAAGGTTCCCTTGCTCGAAAGCCAGTCGAGTCCGACTCTAGGGTTGCGGTGCTCATCTCTGTTTCAAAGCCGAAGAGCCAGCGCTGTCTGAAGACGTTTCCGTGGTCATGTGGCCGGCATGACTAAAAACCAAGGCGCACGGAACGCTGTGACCTTCCCACCAAAGTGGTACCTATTTATCTACTTGCAATGTCTTGCTTTCGAACTGCTAGGTTGGCAGGAACTGGAACTAGAGACGGGAGCTCACTCCTGTCATGCGGCACCCGGGTCTCGAACTGCTGAACTACTGACCTTCCACAGCTTGCAGTTCAGCGTCTTAACCACTTGAGCCACCGCAGCTCCAACTGTATACGGATATTTTAAAATTTATATCTTGCTTCATGGCATTTTCACTAACCAAATGTGTCTCAGAGCTGCTTGCAAACTACTTTCCCTTCCTCTCCCCACAACAGACACCCTGTGAGGTAGGTGGGGCTGAGAGAGCTCTTTCGAGAACTGCTCTTGACAGAACAGCTCTGAGAGAACGTGTGATTGACCCAAGGTCACCCAGCAGCTGCATGTGGAGGAGTGGGGAATCAAACCCGGTTCTCCCAGATTAGAGTCCGTGCGCTTAACCACGACACCAAACTGTGGTGTGGCAATAATAAATAATAAAGATCAGTTCCCCTGAAGAAAATGGCTACTTTGGAAGGTGCAATCTATGGCACCAAGAAAGAGAGAGAGAGAAAGAGAGAGAGATGCAGGAAAACAAAGTGAATATTCCAGACAATTGGTCAGTAGGAAGGAATACCATCATACCTTCCAGGGTACTAGCCAATTAAGTATGACAGCCATCGGGAAGACTGACAAGACCTTGGTACTTGACGAACATACGAGATTTTAATTGCGTTGCAATTGAATCTCTTCCTTTTCAGAACGAAAGGATAAATGGGGCAGCTCCAATGTAAACTTCATAAACTACCCTGGCCCCGAAGTTACATTCTGTTCCGCTCCATCCATTTCAGCGGGAGAAATTTGAGGCCAGGCATTCAATCAATAGGAATGAAAAGCGCTTCTTTTGGCGGAGGGCCCGTGTTCCCGGAGCATTTTGCCATTTCCCCTTGATTGACAACATCCTCCCGGAACATACCCTTGCGTCCACCACCGCGACGGTCACACAGTGCCTGGCCGAGCGCCCGTTTTGGCATTAAGGGAGATCCTGGGTCTTTTCTGACCCAGATTTTCTTTGCGTTGAGCTTTGCTGACAACTCCGAATAATGAGGTTGGTTGCTTTTGTTCTTTGTTCATTAAGCCGTTACTCTCTGCCGACGGCATGGACCAGAAAGGAAGCAGCAACCTGCTGATCTGGACCGCGCAGAATGAGAGTACAGGCCGCCTGAATCCAAAATGTCTGCCTTCGTGCCCTCCTGAAACGACGAGTGAACCAGAATAACACCTGTCACTCAACTGAAGCGGCACGTTACAGAATATCAGGACCCTCTGGCCGTCTTTCAAAGAGGAGGAGGAGGAGGAGATTGGATTTATACCCCACTCTTCACTCAAGAGTCTCAGAGCAGCTTACAAACTCCTTTCCCCTCCCCACAACGGACACCCTGTGAGGGAGGTGGGGCTGAGAGAACTCTTTCGAGAACTGCCCTTGAGAGAACAGCTCTGAGAGAACTTATGACTGGCCCAAGGCCATCCAGCAGCTGCATGTGGAGGCGCAGGAAATCAAACCCAGTTCTCCCAGATTAGAGTCCGCGCACTTAACCACTACACCAAACCGGCTGGTCCATCCTCTAACTGAGATAAGCTTCTCAAGAAACCTGCAGTGCAGGTTTGAGGTATTTCTGTCACCCCAGGAAAGATACTACCGTCACTTCCGGGGCCTGTGCGGCCAGCAGCTTGACTACAGTCCAGCCGTTGGTGGTGCAGACGCAAGGCCCGGAGGAGACGCTGACCATCTCCTGTGCCACCGATTGGCTGGGAGTGGTCTGACCTGCCATGATACATCCACTACCTCACTGCGCTACTCCAAGCAGTTGTTTGGATGGCCTGGTTGGAGAACCACCGTTGGGCAGCTGAGGTTCCTCAGGGCCCAATTTGAAAAACTTCAACCTGAATCATGGCTATCTGTAGACACCCCCTCCGCCCAAAGCTACAAGCTCCAGTACTACAGATACCTGTCTAACTAGTGATCCCCGGCCCGAAGAATATTCGGCTGTCCTCAACCTTTTTCGGCCCTGGCTCGGGCCTGGTGAAGCTCCCTGTCGAGTGAGACCTGGGCCCTGCAGGATTTGATGCAGTCTCGCAGGGCCTGTAAGACGGAGGTGTCCCACCATTGGTTTCTATCTGGGCTGGCTTCCTTTCCGTCCATTCCCCTCTCCCGTCAAACGGAATGATATTTACTCCCATCAAACTCTATGACATCTACTCCCCCAGAGTGTAGGGGCACTAGGCTGCGCTTCCCTTTTATGTGCCATCTTATTGGGGCCAGTAGTATTATTGTAAGAGGGTTTTTAAAATTAGTTTTAATTTATGAATACTGTTGTTACCCGCTCTGAGCCCTGTTTTACAGGGGAGGATGGGCTATATAGTCTATAAATACATAAATAGACGTCCTTTCACATCACCTGCTGGTGATACCACAGAATCCTAGACCCACAGAGCTGGAAGAAATTTTACATCTCTAAGTCCAACCCCCTGTTCTGTGCAGGATCAGCCTCGAGCATCCCTGACAAGGGTTTGTCCCGCCACTCCTTAAAGACCGCCCAGGGAGGGGGAGCGCACCACCTCCTGAGGCAGCTGATCCCACTGTGGCACAACTCTGACTGTCAAAACGTTTTCCCTAAGATCCAGCCGGTACCTTCCCGCCCTGAATTTAAACCCACGATTGTGAGTCCTCTCCTCTGCCGCCAACAGGAACAGCACCCTGCCCTCCTCCTCTAAGGGACAGCCCTTCAAAGACTTCGAGAGAGCCATCCTGTCCCCCCTCAACCTCCTCTTCTCCAGACTAAACAGTCCCAAATCCCTCAGCCTTTCCTCACAGGGCCTGTTCTCCGGGACTGAACCTGCGACCTTCTGCATGGAATGCTCTAGAACGGAGCCAGAGCTTTCCCCGCAGGTTCTTCTTGGCCTCCCGCAGCCTGTTTAGTTCTGTTATTCCCGAACGAGACGCTTCACTACGAAGCCTGCCAGAGTTTCGGCACTCAGCCTATCTAGTCGGTGGTGGCATAGCGGTTAAGGGCGTCAGCCTAGGCTCTAAAAGACCCAGGTTCGAATCCCTACTCGTGCCATGGAAGCTCCCTGGGTGACCTTGGGCCAGTCACGACTCTCTCGGCCCAGCTCACCTCACAGGGTTGTTGTGAGGATAAAACAGAGAGAAGGAGAAAGATGGAAGCCACGCTGGGTCCCTGTCGGCCAGAAAGGCGGGGAATAAATGAAGCGGAAGAAGGAGAGAGAAGAGATTGGGTTTATACCCCGCTCTTCACTACTCAAGGGAGTCTTAGAGTGGCTTACAAACTCCTTTCCCTTCCCCTCCCCACAACAGACACCCTGTGAGGTCGGTGGGGCTGAGAGAGCTCTTGACAGAAACTGCTCTTTTTCAAGGATTTGTGGCTTGCCCAAGGTCATCCAGCCAGGTGCAAGTGGAGGAGTGGGGAATCAAACCCGGTTCTCCCAGATTAGAGTCCGCGCACTTAACCACTACACCAAACTGATTGGACTTATACCCCACTCTTCACTACCCAAGGGAGTCTCAGAACGGCTCACAAACTCTTTTCCCTTCCCCTCCCCACAACAGACACCCTGTGAGGTCGGTGGGGCTGAGAGAGCTCTTTCAAGGACTGCCTTTTCAAGGACAGCTCTTGTCAGAACTATGGCTTGCCCAAGGTCACCCAGCCGCTGCAAGTGGAGGAGAGGGGACTCAAACCCGGCTCTCCCAGATCAGAGTCCGCACACTTAACCACCACACCAAACAGACAAATAAATAAACAGCCTGGGAGTGTAGGATTTACTGACATGCGCTTAATGATTTAACTAAAGCAAAAAGAGAGAGAAATTCTTCGTTTTATTATTCTGCGAGGTCCCCAAAGCTAGAAATCAGGAGGAGCAAGTACAGGCAACCGGACTGAGTTCCCCGATCACCAAAGAACGGGGGACCCCTGCAGGATCAGTCTTTCCACAAAGAAGGAACGAGGGAGAAGTAGGGGGGGGAAGGAACCAAAACAGAAGGAACAACTGAGAGAAGGGCGGTTTCCCAACTCCAAAAGAGGCCGGAGCCCTTTCCAAGTCCCAGAGCTGGCAAAGGATGCTGGGAGAGAGAGCCTGTTTTAGCTTCTTGGAGGTGGGAGGCGGTCCCCGCCCCTCCAGTGCACACAGGCTCCCTTTCTCCGCTCTGCACACTGCGGGCTCTGTTTGACTTCCCCCCCAGCGAGCCGGCGGGAGGATCGTGACATTTCGCTCTCGTGGGGGAGAGGCAAGGGGGGCATTATTATCGGCACACTGGCAATTTGTACAGGGTGGTTTGGACAGAAACGGAAAGGATGGGGCGGGGAAACAAACCCCCCCCCAAGCCGCCCAGCGGGGAGAGGGGAGGGTGCTGCTGGAAGAATAGACGTCCAGATGACACTTTCACGTATATGAGTTTCAGTCGGGTGGGAGACTAATTTAACTTATTTATACCCGGCCTTTCTCCACAGTGGGAACAAAAAAGGCTTACGTCGCCCTCCTCTCCTCGGTATCGCCCTCACAACAAGCCTGCGAGGAAGGTTAGGCTGAGAGATGGTGACTGGCCCAAGGTCGCCCGGCAGGTTTCCAAGGCACAAGCGAGGATTCGAACCTGGTTTTCTCAAATTCTAGTCCGGCACTTCAACCACTATACCACACTGGCTCTTTGAGGTTCCCCTCGGACAACACGAACGCAGTCCACACGGGACTCAAGAAACGTCCAAGTTTTGCTTCTTGACTGCGAAAATATGGGAGGAAGGGGCTGGCTTAACATCTGGGGGCCACAGTCCTGGGCTGAGAGCCAGTTTGGTGCAGTGGTTAGGAGCATGGACTCTAATTTCGGAGAACCAGGTTTGATTCCCCACTCCTCCACATGCAGCTGCTGGTGTGACCTTGGGTCAGCCACAAGTTCTCTCGGAGCTGTTCTCTCAAGGGCAGTCCTCGAAAAAGCTCTCTCAGCCCCACCGACTTTACAGGGTATCTGTTGTGGGGAGGGGAAGGGAAAGGAGTTTGTAAGCCGCTCTGAGACTCCTCTGGGTAGTGAAGGGCGGGGTATGAATCCAATCTCTTCTTCTTCAATCCCCCAGTCTTCCATATGCAGCTGCTGGTGTGACCTTGTGTCAGTCCCAAGTTCTCTCAGAGCTGTTCTCTCAGGAGCAGTCCTCGAAAGAGCTCTCTCAGCCCCACCGACCTCCCAGGGTGTCTGTTGTGGGGAGGGGAAGGGAAAGGAGATTGTAAGCTGCTCTGAGACTCCTTCGGGTAGTGAAAGACAGGGTATAAATCCAGTCTCCTCTTCTCTCCACTCCTCTGCATGCAGCTGCTGGTGTGACCTTGGGTCAGTCACAAGTTCTCTCAGAGCTGTTTTCTCTCAAGGGCAGTTCCCAAAAGAGCTCTCTCAGCCCCACTTACCTCCCAGGGTGTCTGTTGTGGGGAGGGGAAGGGAGAGGAGTTTGTGAGCCGCTCTGAGACTCCTTTGGGTAGTGAAGGGCGGGGTATAATCTCCTCCTCCTCCTCTTCTTCTTCTTCTGGGTTAGGAACTGGGAGGTCCAGGTTTATCTATTTATTTATTATTTTTGATTTGTAACCCGCCTTTCCTGCTCTGCCCTGAGAACTTGAGGGTGCGCCCATCATTCACTCCACCTCACCTAACTTGCTGGTGTAATAAAATGGCAGAAAGGAGACTGATGTAAGCCGGTTCAGGTCCCCGGTGCGGGGGGAAGGCAGGGTATAAACAACATGCTATAAAACCAAATAAAAATTGACTGTTTTCACTTGGTCGCACAGCAGCTGGAATCCGCTGGCCAGTTCTCTCTGCTGGGCAGGTCATCCCCGGACCAATTTCTCCCCGTCCTTCTCTCCCTCGGAACTGTTTCCCACAGGGATGTGCCGAGGCCTACCACAGCCCCCAGGCCCACTTGACGCCACTGCTTGCCTGAGGTAAAATGGCGGGGAAGGGGCCTGGGCGAACGCCAGAGAAGACCCCTGGAGAGTGGCTCGGGCTGCCTCTTGTCGCTGGTGACAGTTGTGGCGGCCACACACGGGCGGCCTCGCCTGTGGCGCAGTGCAGGCTTCCGGGAAGGAAGGCGCAGCACTGCCGCAGCAGTGACAGGCCGAGAAACGCTCCCTCCTGCGTGGTGCAGCCATCTGTGCGACTGAGTTTGGGGCTGGCGAGGCAGCCAATCCCTCTTCTCTGTCCCCCCAGCGTCTCTTTGTTCGTAGGGAGTGCTGGCCAAAGTCCTTCCACATGTGACACAGACTTTTTGGCTGCACTACACTGGAGGACGAAGAAGAAGAAGAGGAAGAAGAAGATGAAGAAGGAGGAGAAGGAGAAGGGGAAGAAGAAGATGAAGAAGGAGGAGAAGGAGAAGAGGAAGAAGAAGATGAAGAAGGAGGAGAAGGAGAAGAGGAAAAAGAAGATGAAGAAGATGAAGGAGAAGATGAAGAAGGAGAAGGAGGAGAAGGAGAAGAAGAAGAGGAAGAAGATGAAGAAAAAGAAGGAGAAGGAGGAGAAGGAGAAGAAGAAGAGGAAGAAGGTGAAGAAAAAGAAGGAGAAGAGGAAGAAGAAGAACATGAAGATGAAGGAGGAGGAGGAGGAGAAGAAGAAGAGGAGAGGAGGAGGAGGAGGAGGAGATTGGTTTTATAACCCGCCCTTCACTACCTAAAGGAGTCTCGGGGCGGCTTACAATCGCCTTCCCTTCCTCTCCCCACAACAGACACCCTGTGAGGTAGGCAGGGCCGAGAGAGCTCTGAGAGAACAGTGACTGGCCCAAAGTCACCCAGCAGGCCTCATGTGTCCCAAAGCAGCTTACAATCTCCTTCCCTTCCTCTCCCCACAACAGACACCCTGTGAGGTAGGCGGGGCTGCGAGAGTTCAGAGAGAATGGTGACTGGCCCAAGGTCACCCAGCAGGCCTTGTGTGTCCCAAAGCAGCTTACAATCACCTTCCCTTCCTCTCCCCTCAACAGACACCCTGTGAGGTAGGCGGGGCTGAGAGAGCTCTGAGAGAACGGTGACTGGCCCAAGGTCACCCAGCTGGCTTCACATGAAGGAGTGGGGAAGAAAACGCGGTTCTCCAGATTAGAGTCCACCGCTCTTAACCACGACACCACACTGGCTCTCCTAGAGATCCTGCCTAGGGAAGTTCTCCAAGCCTCTGCAGGTAAAGAAATGCAGAGATCTTCCAGTACCTCATCAGCAGAATTTGGGCAGCGTTCATAAACAGGACACACACACCCACCAGCAATACTTTCCAAAATTCCAGCAGCCTGATTCGTTGCCTCAGTCCGTGCAGGGTGTAAATCGCCTCTTGAACTGTGTTAAGAAAGATGAGGCGGTAACAGTTCTGAGGTGGTAAGAAGGGGCCGTACCACTTCAGAGGCAATGTGGTAGATTATTGTATCAGACTGGGATCAGAAGGACACGGGTTCAAATCCCGCTTTGTGGACAGACAGGCTGTAAGATGCGAGGAGAGAACTCTGAATAAACAGATAAACCTGAGTGCTCTTGGGAAGGTCTAGAATGAGGCACCTATTGAAAATTGGCCCTTAAGACTGGCTGGTTTATCCTCCAGTCTTCCTCCTTCTGCTAATGCCCCCCATAGATAGGGACTCTGGGGCAAGTGATGCTCTGTCATCTTGGTGCTTGGGGGGGGGGTCAACAGTGGGAGGGCTTCTAATGTCCTGGCCCCAGTGGTGGGCCTCCTGATGGCACTGGTATTTCTGGCCACTGTGTGATACAGAATGTTGGACTGGATGGGCCTTTGGCCTGATACAACATTGGCGTCTCTTATGTTCTTATGACACACACACACACCTACCAGCAATACCTGATCCGTTGCCTCAGTCTGTGTAGGGTGTAAATCGCCTCTTGAACTGTGTTAAGAAAGATGAGGCGGTAACAGTTCTGAGGTGGTAAGAAGGGGCCGTACCACTTCAGAGGCAATGTGGTAGATTATTGTATCAGACTGGGATCAGAAGGACACGGGTTCAAATCCCGCTTTGTGGACAGACAGGCTGTAAGATGCGAGGAGAGAACTCTGAATAAACAGATAAACCTGAGTGCTCTTGGGAAGGTCTAGAATGAGGCACCTATTGAGAACTGGCCCTTAAGACTGGCTGGTTTATCCTCCAGTCTTCCTCCTTCTGCTAATGCCCCCCTTCCCCCCACTCAAGAGTTGCTGAAGGGTAAAGATTACAACTGAGCCAGTTTAGTATAATGATTAGGAGCACGGACTCTAATCTGGGAGAACCGAGTTTGATTCCCCACTTCTCCACATGCAGCTGCTGGATGACCTTGGGTCAGTCACAAGTTCTTTCAAAGCTGTTCTCTCACGGACAGTTCTCGAAAGAGCTCTCTGAGCCCCACCTACCTCAGAGGGTGTTTGTTGTGGGGAGGGGAAGGGAAAGGGATTGTAAGCCACTCTGAGACACCTCTGGGTAGTGAAGGGGGGGGTACAAATCCAATCTCTTCTCCTTCCTGTAGAGGGATGAGGTGGTCCAGGGTATTGCAGGTGATAATTCCCATTTTTGAATACTTCCTTTTTTTAATAAAAAATCCCCTGCTAGTAGAACATTAGCAGCTCAGGAAGAAAGGTTCTCTCCCTGCTGTGCCCGTTTTCTCCTTGCAAGGAGCGATTATGGGAGGAGCATTCAAAATGGCTGCCCTCGCCACCGCTGTTGAGACAGTGTCCCCTTTCCCGGTCCGTCAAAGGCCTGAAGCCAGCCCTGGCAGGAGTACCTTGGATATGTAGTAGACACACTGCTGAAAGGTATACATGATGACTTCCTCAAGAACGGTCATGGCCTCCTCGCTGGTTGTGATCGTTAAGGAAAAAAGCGATTCCTTCGAACCTAAAAGAAACGGAAACAAAAGCAGTCAGAGCGTGGCCTCTGAACATAGAGCACAGTTCGAGCCAAAGCATTCATTTCTCAACAACTGATCTGTCGCCAGCTCGAGAAACCTCTTGGATGTAGAAATTTAGCATGTCAGGCTAGGGCCCTCTCCCTGAGATGCTAGCTTTCTCTATGCAGAGACTGCACGCGGAAGAGTATTGGATCATGCACGTTTATCACTCCCAGCTGACTCACAGCACACACGCCTGTCTGGCCAGATTTCCAAGAGAGAGCGAATGCC